CGCCCCCGCCGCCAGTGCGCCGCTTTCGCTGTCCGGCGTCTCGTCGCTCGTCACCCCGGAGCCTTCCTTGCGACATGTCGTCAACGTCTTGCGCAGATTAGGATCGGGGCACAAATCTAGTGGAGTTTGCCCTGAAATCAATAATTTGTAGCTAAATCAAATATTTGTTCAAATATATAATCTATGTAATCAAATATTTGTTTGTATTGTGTATGGTTGTACCAATTTTCTTTCAAAGAAGATATTTAATACTGGGGATTTAGTACCCTTTTTTTTAATAATTAAATTAAAGTTGGCAACATTTTTCTTTTAGCGATATAAACGTTGATCATTTATTTTTCTTCTTAGTAAAAGAATCTCAATAAATTTTATTTCCAAATCGTCGTATTAAGGCGAGCACCCGGAACTTTTTGCGCTTGTCGAAAAAGTTTTATTAGCAATTACTGGGAAGCAGTTGAAGATCTGCAATGTATCATTCTCCCCTTCCTCTGCTTCGTTATCAAAAACTCATTTATCGGAATAGCTATCGTTGATTTTCGAAAAAAGTCATATATGTTACGCATTTATGTCCAACTGCGCGCACGAGTTTAACCCGCATCTTTTATGCCCCGATATATCTAAAAATGATGTTATCCATAGTGTCATGTGTTAAATTGCGATAGTATACCTTTCTTGTTCTTGAGAGTGAGGTCTGCGCCGTTCGCGGCCAGCAGGCAGGCGATGGAGGCGGAGGACTTCTTATCGTGGGCGTGTGCGAGGGCGCCCAGCGCGGCGGCGTCGCGCGCCTCCTGCAGCCGCCGCAGCTGCTGTAGCGTGTGGTGACGCAGCGCCTCGTGCAGCGCCGTGTCGCCGTCCTACATCATCACGAACAAAACAAACATGCATGATAAAAAAACAGATTACGCCTAAGAATCATAAAAAATACTTGCTGAAGAGAAATAAAGTTCTCTACTGTGTCCAAATATCATCATCATCACCAGCTCACTATACGTCCCCACCGAGGGGCTCGGAGCCTACCCTAATAAGGGGTGACTAGGCCATAGTCAACCACGCTGGCCAAGTGCGGGTTGGTTGACTTCACACATATCTTTGAATTCCTTCGCCGATATGTGCAGGTTGCATCACGATGTTTTCCTTCACCGTAAGAACGTCGGGTAAATTATGTACATATGAAAATTCGAAAAATCGAAAATCACATTGGTACATGGCGGGATTCGAACCCAAGACCTGCAGATTACAAGTCAAGTGTTCAAACCACTGAGCCACCGTCCGCTCCCACTGAGCCACCGTCCAAATATAGTGACTGCATTTTATAACTTCAAATTGGCAGCCTATTTCCGAGCGAAGACCATATAGCAAATGTTTGCAGTGTGTTACATAAAGATGGCGCGTGTAACAACAATGCACAGCAGGAGGTGGAAGGTGCATAACAAGTGACCGGACCGCCTGCACCGCGTCGCCGTCGCCACATTTCACGTCTTTATACAATTTGTTTTATAGAAGCACGTACTGCACTGCACATGAAAATTTGTCACAACTACAAAAACATGAGAAGATATTTATTTTCCCAACATTACAGCTTTGACTTTTTAAAATATTTCCCTGAAGTTGCTACTTATCTTAAATCTAAATATGTCGGAATTGGTGACTACAACAATCTTACTCATAAAACAAACTTCAAACATTATGTCTCATATTGGGGGTGCTAGGATTATGTGTAAATGTTGCGGTACCTTGTCGCATATGTTGAGGTCCGCAGCGTGCGCGATGAGCAGACGCACGATCTGCGCGTGTTGTCGTTCGACGGCGAGATGCAGAGCTGTCTGCAGGTTGGCGTTCTGCAGGTCAGGCCGCGCACCACCGCGAACGAGCAGTTCCGCCACCTCGGCGTGATTGTTGAGTGCGGCTAGGTGTAGCGCCGTGTACCCATCGTCCTTCGCATCGTCCACAATCCACGGACGAGGCAACTTACCAAGCATTATTTTCATAGCGCTGAAACAAATTATAATTATTAATGATGACTTCAGGTACTAAATGTTTAGATTTTCTATGGTAATATAATCCAGTTTCATTTAAAGTCACCCCTTTACATTTATTCGTTGTAACTACAAGCAATAAACTACAATTTACCACCGTTAAAACATACTGCAGTATGTTTATTATCTACAGCCGTTAAAGTTCTCTAGAGAATAGCGGTTAAAATAAAGTAACAAAAAAGTTGAATTAAGAGAAGTCGAAGCTTGGCTCAAGTTTCACGGAGCAATCGAACTTTTAACACCCCCGCATGGCCAGTTTAAATCTTGAAACCCCCTGCTGAGACTTATTATTAACTTCTATCCAATTTTTGCCGATGTTTAAATATAAATATTTGGAACATACTAGGAGATGAATTATGAAAGTTGAGCGAAAAAATATGAGACGATTTAATTGAAAACAATTGCGAAATTTCTAGAAATACTGACAATATTGAAATAATAACTGCTGAGTTATATCAAATCACAGATAGTCAAATAGGAGATTCGAAAAATGTATTGTACTCTCAAATACGTCAGAAACAAAAACATACAAGGAATCACCGTAATAATATAAATTGCGTGGACCGATATGGGAGAAGTTAGGATATTCCGCGCGGTAACATAACGAATGTTTGTGCCCTGAGGTGAGTTAGATTCTCATTGCCTGAGATAACGGCACTTTCTACTTACGGTCCACAATTAATGCATAACTCAAATTTATTACCTTTCCTTCTATTACGATGTAGATTATGTTATTTAAGACGCCATACTATTTTAATCGTAAATGTAGTTTAGTAATCGAAATAAACACACCTATTTAATTTCGGAAGAACATGACTTGCAAGGAAATATCTCGTATTAAACTTATATTAAAACTAGGTGTAGCTCTCGACTTCGTCCGCGTGTAATTAATAAAATAGTAAAAATATAGCCTATGTTACTCATTGATCACATAGCTTTTTAACGGTGCAAGAATTTTTGAAATCGGTTTAGTAATCATTGAGTTATTTCAATATATACAAAAATCCAAAAACACAAATCTTTCCTCTATATAATATTAATATAGATTAGTTAATTACAAAGTTTGTATGGTCAACAGATAAACATCCTTATATTAACGAAGCTACAATGCTATAGGCCATAAAACTGTGGCAGCGCTTGGTCGCTCAATTAATCCGCGAGCGCCGAAAAACAAAAACTAATTGATAGTTGGCGAAAATAATTGGAGATTTGTATGCGATGCATATCTGATGTTAATTGTCAGAATGACTAATTAATGGCTTGCATTTGTTATGAATTATTATTTTCATCTACAATGTATAAATTGCTAATGATGTTTATAGTAATGAGAACGTAATAATTAGAATTTTTTAAACATATTATATTATATTATACTTTATGTATACAATATTCTACAGTGTAGTAATAATTGAAAAATAAGCGTTTCAATTACATAATTATATTGTCTTTTATTACCTTGAAATTACAACAACTGGTGGTTTAAAGAAATCAAATTTCAAGAAGTTGAAACTTATTTTAAGTCAAGTTAAGTGAAGCGGCTACATCTTGTGTGAGTTTCAAATTGTGAGTGATTCGGTCTATTGAACCGTGAATCCTGTGTTTGATCCATATTCAAATAAGCACACATATGTAAGTATAGGTATCGTAACTTGGGTGTTGTATCACTACGAAAACTTAAGAGATGTTTAATTTAAAGTAAAGGACAGTTAGAACAAGCATACTTAATTAAGTTACAAGTGCCAGTATTATACAATTATTTCTTGTAGTTTTCTATTCCTTATGGTTATTGCTATAATTTACGAGTATATGTTAATTAATTTGTGTACAGTTGCAAAAGTATTGACGCTTCGTATAAAAACGTCTTACGGTGTATCACGAATAATGCTGCGGGAAAAGAAATTTAGAGATATTGTTAAAACTTCCCTACAACATAGTTGTAAAGTTATTTAAAATAGCTGTTGCAGAACTCGACACCGGTGAGATGTGAATGAACTCGCATCAAAAATAGATCAAGACTTTGAATTTGTTGTTAACTGAATTTAAATGCAGCGGCTGAACTGATCTGTGTTTTCAGTCTCTCAGTAAAACTGAACGCTAACCGATTCGTTCATACATATTGTGAAAAAACGAATTCGGGGGAATTTAAACTGTAGTTGGTATTTCTAAATGGCAACAATGAATTAGATGGTGTACATTTTAATACGCTCGGTTACGTTCGAAGAGTAAAAACGAACAAACTAATTAAATAAGGTCAAACGTCGTCGGGCGTCGACGGCGCATGCTCATGCGGTGCGGCGCGGCGCGCACGGCGTCTAGTGCGCAGGCGCAGTCGCCCTCCACGCGGCCCCGGCGCGCCTCGTGCCCCACGCGACTCCTCTATGGGGACACCATACGATATGTGAAAAGCCAACATTATACGAAACAGTGATCACATTGGAATTGAAACGTGACTCAATACAGAATTCATAAGATTTATAAGACAGTGGTAAGTAACATTGGGAGTGAGGGTCGTCATAGATTTAACGTAGCTTAATTAATTCCGATCCATCGCTACTCGATTGATATTTGGGTAAAGATTTTTCTGTTTTCATCTGTTGTTTTAGTTAATTATGTGATTGAACATGTTAAACGCGTAATTATTAAATGGCGCCTGTTTAAATGAAGTTTAATGTATTGTGTATGTGTGTGTTGTGCCGCGGCTGTAAAACGTCGATGGCATGCAGCGCAATGATGCTGCGCTTCGTTCCTCGCTTCTTAGTCATATGACGCCATTCATTTTTTTTACCATTTGTTTTTATCGATAAATAGCTCGAGATGTAGATTACGTATATTCGGCACGACGTACAGAAGCAATATTTAAAACTAGTGTGATTTTAACCTGGAAGGCAATATAACTTCTTAGTTATATTGCCTTCCTGTTTTCAAGAATCGATTCGAATTAGCATATGAAAGACGACTTTAAACATACACTAATTTCATAGATAATTCTCTACTCTGGACTGTTGACAAATTTTAATTCCGTCTTGATTCATTGCAAGTTTACTTAGCTTTAATAAAAGTACATACATATATTCATGCTGCTTACTTATCTAGACACCCTTATAACAGTCATAGGGTTAGAGATAAAGATCAGTGACCATTTTACTACATTTGATATTGTTACAAAATAATATAAAATATACACTAATACTTAGTAAATCCTAAACAAAGTCAGATATCTTAAAACAACTTGTACTGTTATTCTACATAGCATACAAAACACGAAAACATGCAATTTACTTTGTTATTAAAGCGTTTCAATTTGTTACTACAAAGTAATTACTGTAGAAAATAGAAATAATTTAGATTCCGTTCGGCGCTATACAAAAACGTTTACGTTTGCAGCGTCGAAACTTTCACTTATATAAGGCAAAAGCTTTTTTTATGTAATAGCTAGGAAACGGTTTGCAGATATTCGGTAAGTTAGGGAAATTTACGAGCGACCTGAATCCCGGTGCCGGATTGTCGATATTGTCCTAACGGTGGAAATGCAATGAGCACTTACGAAAAATTCAGCAAACTTTTTCTCACAATATCTCGCTGGAGTAAGCTTTCCTTACTCTTTTTTATACGTTTTTTGTTAATGTTCTTTAGCATTGTTGATACCTACTTGTGTTTGTGTATCTCTACATTTTAGGGATGTTTAATAATGGAAATGAAATAAATGTTTACATTAAATAAATTATTATAGGTTATCTTTAGTGTACTTATAACACATTTAATTTTTCGATTGTTTTTAACATTTACCTTGAAACGTTATCGTTTACTTAGAATTTTGTTTTGTCAAGAAGAAAATGATTAAAGATTTGAATGTTGTTGTCAAAACTGTCATATTTATCAGACCCATGTCAAATAACTTTGGTTACTTGGCACAGCAAGTTAGATTTAAAATTCGTTGTTTGTGTATATGATTCAAATACATTATGTCTTTTTACATTTATAAAATTATTTTTTATCGATTTATTCACGATTTTTGATGGTTTACAATATTTTTTTTTAATTCTCATTTATTTTATATCTTCCTTAATAGTAAAAATGTATATCACCATCCACCCACCCTTGTCCCTACGGATGTATAACTACACACAACCAGTATATAATACTCTTCCAGTATATACTACTCTTCCATACATCTTTATTAAACGTCAGTCTGAAATCACTTCCTTCTTACACATATACCCTTTTAAACAATTCATCCATACAATCTTCGGTCTTCCTCTGTCTTTGTAGCCTACCACATCAATCTTACATTAAAAGATAAAAATATTATCAGATTATTTAGGTAGATTTACTAATATTGCTTGTAATCATTCTAAAAGAGCTTACAGCTTGAACTACGGTATGGTCCACATAAAATAATAACAAAACATTCGAGCTCCAACTGGAAACCATAACCGCAAGGTCGGGAGTCCAGCTAGTGCGTCAGTTTTTGCAATAACCTACCTTGTAGTAGTCGGACAAAAGTCTACGTATATTACACAACACAAATATTTCCCTTTTAAATGAATAAACATTAACATACGTATAAAAAAGCTAATTTAATTAAAAATCGGATCAGGTTCATTGAAATACATTTAAAGGGTCAACACTCAATAATGTTCCAATTTACAAACATTACAAATATAGTCGGACTATAAAGCTAAAATTAATTTGACGTCATCGGATTGAAAGTTCATTTTCATTTGCAAGATAGCATATTTTAGAGTACTTTATTTGACCTAACTGACCAAGCCTCACTCTTGATTTGATTGATAATGCATTGTTGTTGTGAGTGATACAGTAAAATTTAATTAAATGCAGGATAACTGTAATGTTTTTTTTTTCCTTTGTGTGTTTGTTGCATTTAAATACGTAAAATGCTTTGTGGTACGTGTAAATTAACTATGATCTTTTTTTTACATAATTGGTGTCACAAAC